AACTAAAATGCTAAATTGTATGAATAGCATAGCTCAGCATGAAATATTTTTATAATTTCTATGAAGTCTTCAAATTTCATAACAAGATGTTCAAAATAAACCCAAAAAATGCCTACTGAATTTAATACCACAGCAGCATAACTCAAAAACAAAATATATATAAAAATTAAACTATTGTCACAAGTGAAGAGGTAGTGTAATTTACATTAAATGTGATGTCTAGAAGTTGTAAATATTATTTAATAATAAACAAATAAACTAAATGACAAAGTAATTATGCTTTAATGCTTTGACATTAATATGATCACCTTTATCATTTAAGAATAAAATACATTAATTTGACCCAGACTATATACTTACTAGCCTTCAATGAGCCATGTACATTTAGTTTTATATTTATAGTTAATTGGGCCATCTGTTAAATATCCAGAAGGTTCTGTTAACCTGGAAGAGAAAACAAAATAATGAAAATAATTACCTTAAACTAACTGTAAGACATATAGCAGGATAAGAAAATTTAAAAGTCATTAAGGCAAAGGAACGGGACATAACAATTTTCAAAAAGGAGGATTTATTTACAACTTTGGAAAATTTCAAAGTGCTGTATTTTTCTCTGCATCTCAAAAGATACTTATTTTGGATTTCTTTAAACCTTAATATATCATGACCATTTCAATCTATGAAGCGAAAAAAGACACTGAAAGACTGAACATGGTACTGAAGGATTCAGTGTTGATGCAAAATAGAATAAGTTAAACTTCATCTGCACAAAAATTAGGTTGAGGCAGAAGAAAGAAGATCAAATACAAATCTACAGAATAGAGAAACAGTATACGTATGTTCCACTTTGGGGAATTACCATGTAAGCTATATTTTTCTTCATGCACTGGTATTGCTAAACTGGGTGTCACCAAACTTTAAAAAGAGTTCTGCTAAAAATATATTTTTTATTATCATTTTCTCCTGTCTACGTTACATCTGGTCCAAGAACTCAATTTTTAAAACAGGACAAATAAAAAAATTGTATCTTCTATTTTATGCATAAAAAGAAAAAGATATTTGGAAAAACTCTCTATTTTTAGAAATTAAAAATATTTAAAACAAAAATCTCAATTCTATTTCATTGTTTTTCTTACTTCCAGCCCAATTATTTTATCGAGACCATATTTTAAGTAATCAAAATGTCTTCCCATTTAACATTTATATACTATACTTATATATGCATATACACACACATCACAGCTAATCAGTTTTTACATATTCACATAAACATACATACACACACACACATATATATCAGGGCCATTATCAACTTTTAGATAAAATTAAATGTGCCTTATAGTATAGAGCCTTAAATACATTAGGGGGGAAAAACTTTAATTTACCTAAATCAGGGTTGACAGAAATGTCAGTCAATGTTAATGTCATTTGCAAGTCTTTCATAATCCCTGCAAATTACTTCAGTAATAAAGTAGCTAATTGATGCTTAGAAAATCTTTGAAGAGCAACAAACAAATTCCTATATTTTCAAATAAATGTAATAATAACGAGCATTTTCTACACGTCAGGTACCACTATAAACACACAATGTGTTGTCCCATTTAAGAATCTCAAAAACCCTGTAAGACAGTAAGTAACAACTCCATGTTATAGATGAGAAGTCTGAAGCACATTTTAAGTAACAAGTTAAAGAACTTGCCCTGATTTTTCACTTCCAATAATATTAATACCAAGTGCAGTAATTCAGAAAAACTATCCACTGAAGACAACTTAAAAAGTTAAAGGACAATTTTAAAATCTTACAAGTAACAAAATGATAAAATGTACGAAGCCAAGATCCAGAAGTTGCAAATTCTTTAAGAGGAGGCAGGCATTCTGAGATGCTTTTGTTCTGAGAGATTTGCTTATTTAGAAGAGACTGCCAAAAGGTTGAGAGTGCACTTGGTAGCCTCAAGGAGAGAGGAGGACAAAAGTTGGAAGCAACAACCCACAAAACATAGGGGCTCAAAGAAACAACAGGGCACTTTGACTTGGGACATAATGACTTGCTACTAAAAAATGGTATACCAGAAGTTAACCAGCCTTTACCTCAACTATAGGTTAACTATGAGTCATCTGAGCAACAGAAAACTCCTAAGTCTTAAAATCAGCTTATGGTGCTGCTAGAACTGCCAATATGCCAAGTATCCTAACAGAAGATACATGATACTCTCTAAAGAAAGATAACATTATCCTGGGCCTCAAATTATTTCTATCAGTAATTTTGAAATAAAATGTTTAGCATAATAAAAGACAATTAAGCATATGAAACTACGACAAGAAAACACTGGGGAAACTCTCCAGGATATTGGACTGGGCAAAGATTTCTTGAGGAATAACCCACAAGCACAGACAACCAAAGCAAAAATGGACAAAAGGGATCACATCAAGTTAAAAAGCTTCTGCACAGCAAAGCAAACAGCAACATGAAGAGACAACCCACAGAATGCAAGAAAATATTTACAAACTACCCATCTGACAAAGGATTAATAACCAGAATATATAGGGTGCTCAAAACAACTCAACAGGAAAAAAAAAACCAACAATCCAATTTTAAAAATGGGCTACAGGTTTGAATAGACATTTCTCAAAAGAAGACATACAAATTTCAAACACGTGTATGAAAAGGTACTCAACATCACTGATCATCACAGAAATGAAAAGCAACACTACAATTGAGATATCATCTGACCCCAGTTAAAACGGCTTATATCCAAAAGACGGGTAATAAGAAATGCTGGCGAGGATATGGAGAAAAGGGAACCCTCTTATACTGTTCGTGGGAATGTAAATTAGTACAACCACTATGGAGAACACTTTGGAGGTTCCTCATAAAAGTAAAAATTTAGCTAACATACAATTCAGCAATCCACTTTTGGGTATATACTCGAAAGAAAGGAAATCAATATACTGAAATATCTGCACTCCCATGTTTGTTGTAGCTCTGTTCACAATAGCCAAGATTTGGAAGCAACCTATGGGTCCATCAACAGATGAACAGATAAAGAAATGTGGTACATATACACAATCAATTACTATTCAGTCATAAAAATAGTGTGATTCAGTCATTTGCAACAAAATGGATGGAACTGGATGTCATTATGTTTCGTGAAATAAGCCAGGCACAGAAAGAAAAACATTGTATGTTCTCACTGATTTGTGGGATCTAAAAGCAAAACAATTGAATCCATGGAGATACAGAGTAGGAAGATGGTTATCACAGGCTGGGAAGGGTAGTGGTAAAGTGAGGAGGAGGTAGGGATGGTTAAGAGGTACAAAAAAAATAGAATGAATGAATGAATAAGACTAGTATTTGAAAGCTCAACAGGGTGACTATAGTCAATAATAATTTAATTGTACATTTTAAAATAACTGATAGTATAATTGGATTATTTGTAACACAAAGGATAAATGCTTGAGATAAATACCCTATCTTCCATGATGTGATCATTATGTGTTGCATGACTGTATCAAAATATCCCACATACCCCATAAACATATACACCTACTCTGTACCCACAAAAATTAAAAATACATATCCCCACTCCTCCAAAGAAACATATATTGTAGGAGTTACCACAGTAATCCTTATCTCCCTTTTATAAGAAGTGATGTGAAGGAAATGTTATGCCTCCCCACCGAAGCTAAACAATAGGAGTACCTGAAAACTACACTCCCTGTCCCATCCTATTCAACTTCAGTAGTACAATTTCCCAAACTTAAAAGGAAACTACTCACCACAATCCCCGAATTCCTCATCCTTAGCACTAAAGATCCTACCAAGAGCCCACCTTTTCCTCCACTTACTACAAAAAGGTTTCCTCTTTGCCAATTCCAGTCCACTGGAAGCATGGAAGGATGTCACCAATCAAGGTAAAAGAAATGGAAAATTCCTTCTCACCACTAAGACATGTGTAAAGGGGAAAAATCTCCTGCTACTTCTGTAATAAATAACAATTCTCCTTCTGCAGTTTCATGATCTCTTCTTAAACTCCAAGAACCTTCACCTGCATGCCACTTGGGCAAAGCATTCCCATTACATAAGTTGGACCTCTTCACAATCTAGAACTGTCCTTCTAAAATTCGTAAGTCTTGCACTCCAGGACCATACTCTAACGATAAACACCTAGTTTTCTATTTACTTTTTTTACTTCTTACTCCTAATACCCTTACATTCCAATTGTGTGGCGCTCTCCAGAAATTAGGTAGCACATAGTTCAACTCCCTACAAAAAGTAAAATAGGCTCTTACATAACTACTATTTCTAATATTATTTCTAAAATGTATTCTAAGTTTCAAACAACTGTTTTAAAACTTTCTATCGTTCTTCTTGAACTGAGAACCATATTGACTTATTCATCTAGATCAGTACTACATACACTACTAGCCTACTGTCTGTCTGTGTAAATGAAGTTTTATTGGAACACAACTACACTAGTTTGTTTAAATATTATCTAAGATTGCTAACACACTACAAGGACAGAGTTTAGTACTGGCAACAGAGACCATCTGGCCAACAAAGCCTAAAATATCTCCTATCTGGCCCTTTACAGAAAAAGTTTGCCAATCACTTGTCTAGATGCCTGCCACATATCCATATGCCTTGTCAATATCTCTTTCTAGCTGAAAGTGCCTAATGCAGAGTCCTTAATTAAAAGCATGCTGGGCTGTTTATAATACAAGGTTTGCCATTAATAAATGCAGGAAAACCAGCACAAATATTAGACAGTACTAAAATTAAATCTAGTGGGATGTTGTTGTGTATCCTGACTATGGATATATAATTTAACACATTATAAAAATAAGAAAGTGTGACAGTTTTAATATTACAAAATCTCTGAAACAATAAATCCTGTTTATCACAGAATATAGGTTTAGTCCTGGCATAACCAGCCTACAAGGAATAGTCAGATCTACTCAGGGATAGTCTTTATGCAGGGCGGCTTTTGTAAGCCTTTTTCACACAAAAATCTTTTTTAAAACAGGCTTTCTAGTTAAAATACTATTTATCAGCTTATTAATTCCTTTTTATTTTTTATTTCATCTTTATTGACAAATAATAATTGTATATATTCATGGGGTAAAATGTGATGCTTCAATACGTGTATATATTGCAAATTGAGCAGATCAGGCTAATTAACGTACCCATCACCTCACATACATACTTTTTGTAGCAAAAATATTTAAAATCCACTCTATTAGCAATGTAGTATATGAAATATACAATGCATAATTAGTAACATTAGTCATTTCATTGTACAATAAAACAACAGAATAATAGAACACTTATTCTTCCTAATTGAAACTTTGCACCCTTTGACCAATATTTTTCCTTTCCCTGCCCAACCGACCACCACCCGCAGCTTCTGGTAACCACCATTCTATTCTCTACTTCGACTGAT